CCAGAGCAGAGCTGATAATGCAAACGACACGCTGATGAGGCTGAACTTGACAATGTGCCATCTCAAAACCAGCTTGGAAGAGGGAAGGAGCGTGACGGGAGGCAGCGAGGCAGAAATGAACAACTGCGTGCAAGCCAAATCCTCCACTGATGTGGATGTTGCTGTGCTCGAGGGGCCCTATCTCAAGTTCCTTGAAGTTAGTGGAACTACTTGTGGTGATTTTAATGGGCTTTGGATCTGGCCCAAAGAGAAAGCAGAAGGCAAAGGTCGGCATGGAGACTCGTTCTCAGAGAATTCTTTCTGAAACCAGGAGGAAGGGTCGGGGCTTTGCCCATTAAATGCAAATGCTGAGGAGACTCTTGGTTTATCTTCTGTGAGCATTACATCATCAATCCCTATTTTTTCGCCCAGAGGCATAACTAGCAAATTTTGCACCCTGGATGGCAGCTGCACCTGCCTAAGATGGCGCTCCATAAGACCTTTTGCGTCATCCTAAGATGGTACCCAGGGCTGATGCCACACTTGCCCAGCTCTAGTTACACTACTGTGTTCCTCTGATGGTCCTTTGGTTAGGAGATGGGGATATATTTTTCTGCATATGGAGGAAATTTTGCCAATATGTGAATCATTAAATATATATATATATATAATAAATAATATAAAGGGAAGGTTTAGTGTAAAAAGTAAATTATATGCATAATGATAGATGTTATGTAATGTACATATGTATAAAATCTATTGTTATTTGTATAACTTACTTATGCAATAAGTCTACGCTTTGCAACCTGACGCATGAAACTGAAGAAATGCCTCATTGTTTCCCATCCCCCTTGCTTTTTATGTTGCATGGCACCTCCTATAAGGATCAAGGTGGCCTCTCTTGAATCAGAAGGCATGATTATCAGAGTCACTGAAGATGCTTCATGTAATAAAATTTGGTCTAGCTCAGGAGCAATGAGGAGCATGTGTGAGAAGCTTGGGTGGGGCATCGGGTGTGAAAGGTGTTTGGGAAAGGAGGAGCTAGTTGGGGTTGCTTGAGAGAGAAATAGGTTGTATTTACTGGCAAGGAGAAAGACTGGAAGGAAATCGAGAAGAAGGTAGCCCTGGTCAGGAGCATAGGATGGGTTTTGATCATAGACACTTGTATAGAGGGAGTGAGGAAGAATTGAGATGTGAGGAGGTTAAAGCGTAGGAGATCACAGTAACCAAGATGATAATATGGCATAGTGTTTTGGGAATGAGCTGGAAGTGGTGGCAGAATGCCAAGAATTGCTAGGATACCCTGAAGGTACCAAGATTGCAGCATTTTAACGTAACTGTGAAACAGCGGAGTTTACAGGCAGCACTGAGGGACAGAGTCGAAGAGAGAATGGAAGCTTCTTATTGCTGCAAGTGCATCAGCAGTGACACACCAGACTTCTGCACCAAGCTGGCTGCTGGCATGCAGCCATGAAGCCTGAAGGAAAGATCAGCCAGGCAGGGTTTTTCTGAAAGTTATGCAAGGGCATAAACCCATAGAGTTGTAACACCTTGACAGTTCTTAGTGCTACACGAGCTAGTCGGTAGGTTTTAACTGTGTCTCTTTTTTAATGACTTGTACTGTGATTCATTCCCAGTATGATCCCAACCCCTTCTGTTGTCTCGAGAGAGAGCCAGTTGCAGACTGCCAGATTCTGCAGCTTTATGGATCTGTATCAGTGGCTGTGTATATTACACAAGCTAAGCCTGGTTAATCCATTTCCCAGCCGATTAGTTGGACAATGCACCCATCTGAGTGAATCAAAACATGGTCTTAATGCAATTAACAGTGGTTGGCGTCCCACCATCGAAATAGCCACTAAACACACAACTCTAATAACAATGGCAGGGTAATGAAATCCCATCCATCTTGTAGTTTCTGGCTGCCACTTACTCCCTGCTCAGTGTCACTGGAAAGTCCTTCACTCTAAGTGGAGGAATGAATCCCAGTTTACTAGCCCTGGGTGCCAGGATGTTTCATACCATGGCTCCAGCTACTCAAGCCAGGTGCTGGTTAGCTTTTATTTTGACATTTTTCTCCCTCTGCCAGTTTTCCTCTCCCAAGAGCTTCGCATGCAACAGGCCTGCGTCACCTGAGTTGCTATATGGAATCCTTTAACTATCATTAATATTAGGTGCTTGGGAGGTACTCCAGCTCCCTCCATCTGTGACTGTCAGGGCTCAAAAGCTAAGTAGCCAGAGCTGGTGACTATTGGGAAGGCAGAGCTCTGAGGAGCAGTCAGATGCTGATGGAAGCTATATTCCTGGTTCTTCAGATGCTTGCATTCTCTGGCATGGTATTGGACGGGTGAGGGGGCACCAGACTGGGAAGAGGTCACGTGCAACAGAGATCTGATGTTGTGACCCTTGAGGTGACTTAAAATCTCACAGCACTTTCAGCAGCCCAGTAGCCCTTCTCTTGTCCCTTGTGTGCTAGGCAAGCTGTAGGGTGATTAATTACATTCTCCCTCTGAAAATCAACCCACTGTTTCAATTGGTGACAGTGTCATTCACTTCCCTTTCTGCTGAGTGCTACTTAATAATTTTATTTTATTTAAATGCACTCAAAGTACCACCTATCTGAGCCCAGCGCATCCAAAAAACCCACTTGAAAACACAACCAAGAGTAAATAACTTTAACAGAAACACAAGCTCGCTCAACCAGGCTGCCAATACAACAGCCCATACAATCATCAAAAGGAATGTGATTTCCTAATCAGCATATGCCCACATCAAATAGGACTGCTGAAAAGAATAAAACCCTCCCTTGGCAGCAGTCTCCCGAAGCCCCCAACCCTGCTGTTTCAAGAAAGTTTTGGCAGACTGGATTCTCTGCATGGCAAGCTGAACTTGATGAAGCCCTGATGTTGTTAAACCAAATAGGAAGCTAGGTCTCACGTCCCTTCATGCCTTTCTTGGTTATCCATCTTTTAAAAACCAGTTTAATTACAACTGTTATGATCTCGCTTGTGGAACTGTGGTCCATATTTGGACTTTACAAAACTAACCTCATAAATCCCTAGCTTTATTTCCGCTATTAAACAGCTGCTGCCTTGGGCTTGAGAGGTAGATGTTTGAAGGGATTACTCTGTAGGTTTGCTGTTGCTGATGTGACTATGGGATGCTTTAGCATCCTGGTGATCAACCTCTGCCCTGTGGGCCAGAGCCATCCAGCCCATGGGGCTTCCCACGGGTCTGAAAATTTTGCAACAGGGGAATAGTTGCAGTGTTAATTGCTCTCAGAGCGGCAGCAGTTAATGCTACTACCATTTCCCTGTCACCAAATTTCAGGACCTTTGGGGTGCCCCCTGGTCTGTATGACACAGCCCCAGGCACCAGATTGCACCAGCACGGAATCACTCCATGGCCAGACTCCATGTCACTCCAGACGTGGTACATGGGGTTGGGTCAGCACATGGGGTGACACCAGGGTTTGGCCAGTGTGCAGGGTTGAGTTGTTGCATCGAGTTGCACTGTGGCCGGATCTGGTGCATTGGGTTGTACCAGAGTGCCAGATTGTGCTTGTGGACTCGCCCTACTCTCCAGCTCCACACTAAATCAGGCCCATGGTCTGACCCTGTGCATGGGATCCATCCTGTAGACTAGCCCAGTACAACTCATCCCGCCCATGGGGCCGGGGAAGTTGATCATCATTGCTTTAGCATGTAAGCCAGGGCCATATATAAAATATATAAAGTTCTTGTAATCCACCAGAGGTCAGTATTGTACTATTTGTATCACCCAGAGGAGACAGTCTCATCCTGGAATGGCTTTGAATCACACTAACTTTCCTTGAAAAGAAGTCCGTAGCATAGACCCTGCTTTGCAGTTATGCACTGGAGGAAAGCACAATATATTGACCATCTCTTATAGTCATCCAGGAGTCATCTCTTATAGTCCCCACTGTCCTGGCTTCTGTCTTGTTTGTGGCCTGCCACAAAAAAATTACAACTCAGGCTGAGAGAGCCACTACACACATCAGCTGCTGCATTTGCTTATTCAGGTACTGTGCTACCCACAGTTCCTTGTTTTCTGGTATCTTGAGCATGAAAGGTGCTGCTTAAGTTCCAATTCAGTTTTATTGCTGTAAAAGTACATTATTTAAAATGGCAGCAATGATTCACAGTAAGAGCCAAGCCATCAGGCAGCTTATTGCAGAACCTCCAGAGATTTACAGCAGAACTTCCCCTGAAGCTCTGTCCTGGTAATTCTGCATATATACCTGGACTTTATTGCACTTAATCACCATAATTCCATGTCTCTCTCCATTGTCTTATCCATACTGTCTTGGTGTAGTCAATCCTCTGCTAAGCTATAGTGGCTGCAGAAGGGTCATGGAAGACTGCAGAGGAAACAAAACACTCAGGGAGAACTAGGACATGCAAATTGAAGCAGAAGGCCATGGCTCTGTCAAGTAATCCAGGGGTGAGCAAAATACAGCTTGCAGGCTGGATCTGGCCTTCCGGCCCACGGGTAGGTGGCCGCCAACTAATTAGATCTTGCCCATGGGTGGCTAGCTTCCCCAGCCACCGCATAGTGCTGGCCAGCACTGCTTCAGCATGGAGCATCAGCTGTGGGTGCTGCTTGTAGGTTCAGGAGCTGTCGCTCTTCCAGCGCAGTGGAAGCTCCTGTCCAGGGCCCCAATTCAGAACCTGCCAGTGGCATCAGCTATGGAACCCAGGCAGGAGCTGCTGCTGTGTGGGGTGGGTGGCAGTGTCAGCTGTGACATGGGCAGCAGGTTCTGCATCAGGGCTCTGGTGTAGCAGAAAGCCCCCTTTTCCTCTTGCCTGCATTTGCTCTCCCCTCTTTGGATATGTTTCTCTTTTTCTACCTTTTCTTCCTTCCTCTCTCTTTCACTTTAAGATAAGGAATTGTGTTTTAAGATTTGTATGTGTGCATTTTGTATCTCCCCTTGTAGTTTGGTATTTTTATCTATTTGTGTGCCATGGCATTTGTAGCTTATATTTTATACTCCTCACTTTTCAACTTTCAACTAAATGTGTTTAGTTTCATAAGTAAGTTATACATTGTAACAAAGTTAAGGGCAGGAATCAAACTGCCCTTCCCTGCATCAGGCTGGCCCCTGAAAGAGCCAGCGAATCAGTGATTGAATGTGTAACAAGGTAGCACATAGCAATTAACACCTGGGAAGCTGCAGATCAGCCAACAATAGAAGACAATGTAACAACGGGGAAATCCCTAAAGGTCACCGATCAAGGGCTAGAAGCCCTGGCCTGAGTTAATCAACTCCGGGGACCAACTTTTGGGCTGAGTATCTCCAGATCAACCGCTCCCAGAGCCCTATTCTAAATTCATCAACGGACTCCCAAACCTGCACGTACATGCGGACAACCCCTGGGACTGACAGATGCCGTCCAGTAGCCACCGTGGGGGTGGGGGGGGAAGTCCCACGAGGGTCAACGACCCCTGGATTGGGCAAACCTGAAAACTGGGGAGTCACCAAAGTCTGCCAAGGACAGATAAAAGGCAGTGAAAAGTGACCCTCAGGGGCACCCTCTTGATCTCCAACTCGACCAGATCTGTCCAGCCAGAAGGACCAGCCGGCGACCCCCTTCTGGAGGATAACACCACGCTGAAAGAAGCCTCGACTGGCCATCGACGGCAGACTCCAGCGCTTGTAGCATAGGTATACCTGACTCTGTAGCTTGCTTGTGTGTGTGTGTGTGTGTGTGTGGGGACCAGCCCCAAGGTTTATGATTTAACTCATTACAGTGTTTCAATCCGCCTAATAAACTAGAATTTTAAGGATCCCGAGTTGGACATTTGTAGCCAACACTGGAACCTGCTGGCTGTGCCCACAGCTGATTCTGCTGCCCACCAGGCATGGCAGCAGCTCCTTCCTGGGTCCACAGTTGACGCTGCCAGCAGGTTCTGGGTTGGAGCTCCAGGCAGGAGCTTCCACGACATCAGGAGGATGGCAGTGTCAGCTGTGGATGTTGCTGGCAAGTTCTGCATCCTAACTCCTGAACCTACCAGCAGCGTCCACATCTGCCAATGCTACCCATCCACCACAGCGAACCACAGCTCTGACGGGTTCTGGAAGGAGTGGGAAGGTGACAGAGAGAGAGAAGAAAAGAGAGAGAGATCAGAAAGACAGAGAGGAGAGGAGAGATCAGAGAGACAGAGTAGAAGAGAGAGAGAGAGAGACAGGGAGAAGAGAGATGGACATGGCACTTGACAGGTCCCCAAAACTCATTAAGTGGCTCTCCAGCTGAAATAATTGCCCACCCCTGTGGGGGGCCACCCTTCCACATGTGTGTTCTGTGTAACTGCTACTTAAAAATAAAAGGGAGAGCACCTTGTTTCAAGGTTAAACTTCCCCTGGCTGGCTTTATATTTTATGTTAAGTTGTCTAGGTGCTGTCAGGTTATCCTAGAGATGCTGAATGGGATCCATTCTGATATTGATCGGTGTGTGTGGGTCTTCTTGATGTTGCTGCAGCTGTGAATGTCTCCCAGTGGGCTTGGTTTGAGTGGCTTCTAGACACTGAAATCTGACCACTTTCTTGTAGTGGGGAGCCTGCTTCTATTGTCTTTAATAAGGTCTGAGCTTATCTGTAGCTGCTTCACTGGTGTGTTTCATAGCTTTGCCTTTAGAAGTTAAAGGCATCTCAGCAGCTACTGGTGGGAAGAATGCCCTCCTACTCCATGAGCTTAAAGCATAACTTGTCTACAAACTTGTCCCATTAAATCATACCAGAGAGATGCAACTAGCAGGTCCTGCACCTTGGCTAGCAAGGGTGCTGGCAGGGGTTGGGTGATTGCAGCAGTGGCAGCAGCTGCCATTCTTGTGCCCCCTCTACATGGGGCTGGGCTGGTGCTCTGGTTTCCCACCCCTCGTTCCACTACTGAATCAGACTCTGTTGCTGGGAAGGGTCTTGGCTTCTCTAAGTCAAGGCTGCAGCAGGAGTAGGAACCTAGCTCCTCCTCAAGACACACTCCCACAAGTGCAGGCATTATAAATATGCACTGCACACTCCCTCCCCTTTCCCTTTGGACTCCAGGTGGTGGGACTAAGTGGAAGGAAAATCTAAGCCTGTGTGACTCAGTGCCAGCTCGTGCTGCCCAGTTTGATTTCAGGCCAGTCAGTGCACCTGGGAATCCTGAAAATCATCTCAGCAGATCCCTGAGAAGGCTGACGGCAAAGATCAGTCTGTGAACAGACTGAAGCAGATAGGCTCAGCTGTATGCGTCTCTTCAGCCGGCCTTCACTGACAGCCTCCGTGACAGATAGGGAAGAGAAATAAGACAAGCAAAAAGAAACTGCAGAAGGGGAAGAGGATTTGCTTTCTAAAGAGTAACTGATTTGTTTTCTGGCCTGTGGTTCAAGCAGAGCATGGGTGGATGATGATCAATTGGGGCATGGGTGGCATTGGTAAAGAAAGGGGTGAATTAGAAAGCTGCACTTGTTTAGTCCAGGGGAGAGGGCTGTCAACTAAGGGCTGGTTCACTGGATTTCCTCTGCAGGGAGCCTTTTTTTAAACACAGTCTTATCATTTGAAGAACCAACAAAAGTGCCAATCCCAAATGAGGGATGAACAGTGTCTGTTGTAGATGGTCACAAAATAACACCCTCTGCTCTGCTTCCATTTTGCCCTGTGTTCTTTGGGAGAATTAGAGAGGCTGTCCCATTCACTGGGTTTTCACGCTCAAAACAGAGCAGGAAAATCTCCATGGAGCTGCTCCATAGCCTTCTTAGTTCAGAGAAATCTGGCTGGTCATCCCATTGCCAGATGGACAAGCTGTCTGCAGCTTGAGCTTCCCTTCCCCTCAGGGTACAGCCTGACTGCTGCTTCTCTCTCTTTTGTAAGCAGCTTGTAGCTCTTCCACAGCTATAAGAGAGATTCTCCTTTTACCACTTCCCTTTTCTCCTCTTTATTCCTCCTGAATATTTTTCCCAACTGGAGGGTCCCCCACCCCAGGCTCAAATTGCTGGTAGCTGTTGTGGGGTGATGTAGGGCAAGCCCTGTCTGCAGGCCATACCACACTGACACTGATCTGCCTGGCCTGATGTGGGGCTCGTCTACCCCATCTCAGTGATCAGTGACTATTTGGTGGCCTTTAGTGGAATGATGTGGCGGTCTCTTCCCACACAGCACCCTCTCCAAATTGGCTTCTTTTTCAGCTGTCAAAGAAGTGAAGCTGAGGACGGAGTAGGATGTGGGACTAATCTGCTTTGCCACTGTTGGCAGTGACTGCTGTAGGCAAACACAAAGATACCCTGGCAAAGTGGCAGAGGTAGCTGGCACTGCTGTCTTCCTCCTCTGCTTTCTTGCCTACTCCACCGAGGATTCTGATTTTCACAGCTGTCCATACAGCACCTTTCGCCTGCATGCAATTCGGAAAGCCTGCTCCTGGTAGCATATGCCAAAGCAACAAATATCAATGACTCCCACATACCAACTGTTCTCTTATGTGGGGAACACTTCTCTTTTTGAAGCTGGTTTTGCTTTTCTTCTGGAGAGACCTGATGTTCTGCTTGTTACTAGGAGCACTCTCTAACCTGGGGGAAAAGGCAGAATAAAACAAACCACTTTCTGTCCCTCTTCCGTGAGTCCTTTTGAGAGCCCCCTTTGCTGTTAGCTTCCCTTAGCTCAAGAGTTTTAAAGGCTAGTACCATAGACTGGATTGCCATGTGGGCATGGTGTGTGACAAAGGATAGCATGTCATGCAGCTGCCAACACCTCGGGACCTGATCTCTAACCATTGCAGCAATGGCAAAACTCCCTGTGACTGCAGTGAGCTTTGGATCAGGCTCTAAATGACAGTCATCAAGTGAATGATACTTGGCCAAGAACAGGGCCCTCCTTGTTTTATATGAACTTCATCTTTACCTTATTTAGTGAAAACCTCCCTTTAATGTATCATCCCCTCCTGTAATTAACTTGCAGTAATAAACTAGAAGAATTAGCAGCAGGATTATGTGGGCTGAGAATAAATTTGGGTCTGAATTAAACTAATCTGAGGGATATGGAGAAATAAACTGCTTGGAGAAATAACAGAAAAATCCTCTTTCAAAATTAAAAAGATACAGTTGCAGTGAAATCCACATATTACTTTTCCTGTTTGCTTTGTTGCTAGCAACACTGGAGGTAATTAAAATGGAAACAGATATAAGCATCTAATTTTATTTTTCATTCTTTGTGCCGTTTGCCTGGCTTCCCCCACCTCCCGCCACCTGCCATTTCACATATTGTATAATGAAACTAGACTGATCTGTTTTGCTTGTAGCCAGCATAAATTTTCTACTTTTCATGCAGTAGTACAATGCTTTTGTCTCTGGATTCATGGCCAAGAACCAGGAGAGGAAATGATTAAAATTGGGGGAGGGGGAGGTTCAATCCCCTTCTCTCCCATTCTCACTGAATTTTTAATATTATCAAATCATTTTTTTCCCTTTTAAAAAATGTTTGGGCCTACATTAAATAAAACATTCTCTTAAATGTCATTTATTATGGCTGAGTTGTAATACACCATAGCTGTGATCAAAAACTGGCTCAGATTCTCATAATCTAGGATGACAGTGGGTGAACAGGAAAATGTATGTAACCTATTGTATATGGAAAAAAGATAAGTTTCAGTGTTCCTGATCTATGCTCTTCACTCCTCAGGCTACTAAGCTATTTGCCTCACTCACTAGAAATGCTGTTCTCATTGTCAAACTGATTCAGACCAGCTTCTAAGAACTTCTTCTGTGTGTAGCCATGTATTTTTTTCTGTCTTCTGCAAATGTATGGCATGGGGCTGAGTTCTCAGTGATCCTCTTCTTGCTTCCACAGGGCCTTTAAAGTTCTACAATGAATTGCTGGATATCTCTCAGCAGGA